TTGGACCAGAACAGCTTTCACACTGTTCTTTCTCAACATAACATGAGCGTCATTCACAGGGTTGGACCAGAACAGCTTTCACACTGTCCTTTCTCAACATAACATAAGCGTCATTCACAGGATTGGACCAGAACAGCTATAAATATGTATATATATATGTGTGTGTGTGTTGTATATATGAAATTTATCCTGCTGTTTGAGCTTTTGAAAACATTAATATTATTATTAGTGGATTATTAACTTTAAAAAAGATAAATTCTGGAAACATTTTTCCATACTTTATAAGATATGAAAAATACAAATACTACTAAAATCCAGACTTTTTAAAACATTTCGAGACCGCGCAGGAACCCTGATTTTTGTGTCTTACTCGTGCTCCAGGTAAACCTGGCTCTCCATCACGTCCTGGGTCTCCTTCTAAGCCTTTTCCACCAGGCGATCCTTGCAGCCCTCTTTCACCCTGAGCTCCCTGTTCAGCCGAGAACCAAATGTTTAAAACTACACAAACAGACATGAGATACAAACAAAATAATTATTACTCACCTTTTGGCCCGGTAAACCGTCAGCACCAGGGAAACCCCTGTTTCCTGGTGGTCCCTAAAATACACACATTTTTTAATGTCTAAGCCTGAATTTCTGGTCATTTCCAAAAGACTTCTTGTTGTCAGGTAACTCACTGTCTCTCCAGCTGGTCCTGGAGGTCCAATAGATCCAGCATCGCCTCTGGGTCCACGTTTCCCATCCTCTCCCAGAGGACCGATTGGACCCGGCAGACCGTGGTCACCCTAACACCAATCAGTCAGTCAGTTTGAGCCCAAAAATAAAATCTCCAAGCTTTATGTTTATGTGACTTACTCTCTCGCCTTTGAGTCCAGGTTCTCCTTTTAGTCCAGCAAGTCCACCATCACCCTTACAAAAAAATAATTTAAATTAAAGCTCAAGCTTAAACTGAGTCAGCGTTCAAATAAAAAACACTTGTACCAGTTGGCCTTTTGGTCCTGGTACTCCTGTGGTTCCTTGGGGGCCAGGAGGACCGGCTGGACCTACCAACCCTGGTGGACCCTGAACACCTGCTATCCCCTTTTAAGAAAAGAAAAATGTGTGTTTATTTTAAAATTTAAAAAAGCATAAAAGCTCAACAGAACACTATTTATGATTAAAAAGTTTTATAAAAACTCACCGATGAGCCACGAGCACCTGGAGCTCCATCGGGCCCCGCAGCACCCTGTTGTGGAACAGACAGTGTGATTAGTTGAAAGTTTGATACACGCTAAGAAAACATGCTTCACTCTAGATTTTCGATTCCAAAAATAGCTGATGTTTGTCCCACCTGCTGTCCAGTAGGTCCAGGTGGTCCCGCTCGTCCAGCATCCCCTCTGGGTCCCTGCTGCCCTCGACTTCCTCTCACTCCCGTTGGACCAGCTTCCCCCTGACCCAGTCAACACACTCAGGTCAGATTTAAGGACTTTCAAAGGTTCCCAGTTTGGTGATGGACAAAGAAACCAGCCATTTGGAGCAGTTTACCAAAAATATACCGACTGGTTCAGTCGCTTTTATCTTTCTCTCAGGATAATAATGTTGCTTGTAAATACGCCTGAAATTTTAGCACAGACAGCAATGTTGTTATATTAAACATGAAGTTTTCACAAATTAGGCAAGAATAAAGTGGAGTGACTTTGTTTGGCCCGTCTGAACGAGTAAAGTTTTCAACTAGATTGGAGAAAGAGTCAATTCCACAAATCCAGTTTCTAATCTAAGTATTCGTAGAACACTTTCAGATTAATGCTGCTGGCTGACATTCAAAACTGAAAAAAACTGCATCAAACTACAATACAAAGAGAATAACTATTAAAAAAACTGAAACAAATTTCAGTTTCTAATGTGAAGGGGTGTATGGATGTGTTTCATCAGGAATTAGTCTGCCTCTCAGGTAAATATACCAGTTAACCAACTGGATACAAAATGGTTACCACTTCGTATACATGCACCTCAAAGGTAAATATTTTACATCCATGATCTTAGAAAATGCACATATCTCTACGTTAATATATAGATTTAAGGGTAACACTTTACAATAAGGTACACAAAATTTGATTAACTACTAGGGAACGCCTCAGGACTGAATCAGGAGCTAATGGGTAGTTAACCAGTACTTACTGGGGAACACACAGCCAAGCCTTATTAGGGGACTACTGATTTGTTACCATAGGAACAAACCAGTAGGTAATGGTCAGGTAGTAATTAAGTAATGACTGGTTCCTCAGTAAGTGCTTGGTATGATGCTTCACTACATCAGTGAACAAAATAATAGCCAGGCAATGATTTGGTATCAGTAAGTGATAGACATAGTTAAGTTGACAGCAGTACAAGATTATGAAATTCATCATGTTTTTCATCAATAGGGTTACGAAAGAGAAAAGCCAATAAAACCAGTAATCACTAGGAAACAGGTATTTGACAATTATAAGCTGTGACCTCACTGGTGCAGGGTTTATTCAGAACTCACATGGAGAATTTCTCCTCTGTTTCTGTGGTAACAAACAAGTAGTCCCCTAATAAGGCTTGGTTCTGTGTTCCCCAGTAAGTACTGGTTAACTATCCATTAGCTTTTGATTCGTTCCTCTTTGGTTTCCTTGGTAACTACCCATTAGTTCTTGATTAGTTCGTCTTCATTTACAAGGTAATTAACCAATAGTCCCCTAATACGGCTTGGCTGTGTGTTCCCCAGTAAGTACTGGTTAACTATCCATTAGCTCCTGATTCATTCCTCTTTGGTTTCCTTGGTAACTACCCATTAGTTCTTGATTAGTTCATCTTCATGTACAAGGTAATTAACAAGT